ACGTTACATCACAGAATAAACAGTATACAGAAGACGCACCACATACAAATTTATTTTTCTTCGGCGGACGTAATATTACAACCCGGACCAGAGCAGAGAAGTTAACATTACGACGACTATGAATAACATGGCGACCCGGAACAGAGCAGAGGAGTTAACATCACGTCCACTATGAATAACATGAAGTTAACATCTCGCCATAAACACACATCGTGATCAGCGTTGCCGCGAGCTGGAAAAAAATGTATCAGTTGCCAAGCAGAAAAAAGTATCAAAAGCAAACAAAACTGTTGTTTATTAAACTATTATTTAAAAAACAAATAATAAATAAAATTTTATAATTAAATCCATAGTTATAAAAAAAATTATATATCTTGCTTTTGTCTGCTTATTTGCATAATGAAAAACTAACTTATAGGGCCCCTAAACCACACAAAATCCTTGCGCAACCCGAGACTTGTACAAGTCAATATTGTGGAATTTACTACAGCATAAAATTGCGCAAACCTTATTTTGAAGAAACGTTGCTCAAGTAAATATGTGCAAGAAATATGAATGTGCGTTGTATATATTGATAGCTTCATCTTTAAAACGTAAAAAAAAACTAAATTCAAAAAAAATATATTTTTTTCGATATTTCGTAATGTTTTTGTGTGGTTTAGGGGTCCTATAACAGTTATAAGAGTTATCCAATCAACTTATAAATATCTATATATAAATCGTGAGACTTCAAATAACAATAAAAAAATATTAGCCTTTAGACTAGTAGTACTATTCATAGTTTTCGAAAATTCATTTCTGCCAGCCGAAAGTATCAAAATACGGCATTTGGGAACAAAAAAGGATCAGATATTAAAATTTAGAAAAACAGTATAAAAAATTACAATTGTACCAAAACGGCAACGCTGATCGTGATGGAAAACGTAGTTAACATCTTGTCGTCATAGCGACGATGGAATTAACATCGTCAGCCGAGTGAAAATACTGCTAAAGTAACAAAGGCAGCGCCGCTTGTGATACCCTTGCTTGCCTCACCGCTCGTGCCATAAATTCAAATTGGTTGGATAGTCGACATGCGTCTTCTGTATACTGTTTATTCTGTGGTTACATTTATAGCTACATATATGTCGGCGCAGTGTTGCCGTTTTGGTTACTTTTAACCAATTTTGGTTATTTTTTTCTTGCCTGTGAAGTTGTTAAGATCTTTCGCATTTTGGTTATTTTTAACATTTACTGTAGTTTCTAATTTTTGTATACATACAATAATTAAATCTTTGAAAAATAGTATAAACAAATACATTACAAATGCTCAATATGGTTATTTAACTAAAGTTATTACTACTAAAATGGCAACACAAGATTCGACTTATTCCGATAATAATCATGTGTTTACATATGCAAAAGAACCTGTAAAAGTTCGAGGGTGCAACTATTATCGGTGTCTTTAATAAATCGCGGTGAATTAATCGCCAAGTTTTTGAAACGGCCCCGCAGTTACACCATTTTTATGTTCTTTGCACACACCTCCATAATACGTACCTGAAATGACATTTGAATAATACGAGTCATTAAGAAGCCGCGAAAAATTATTAGAATTCCGCGCAAAATTGGTGTTTCAAGTTAATTTATACGGGCTCAATTCTATGGATAAGTGAGAAAAAAATACACAATTTTGGTTTTATGTTGCATAATATGTATTCCCAAAAAACTTTTAAATTAGGTTCGTTATAAGACATAGGCCAGCTACACCTGTCGAGGTTGAGGAGAGTAGCAGCAGCAGGGGCAGCCCCAGCAGTGAAACCAAGTGAGAATATTTGGAATCATTGTATTAATATTACTTACATATGTATGTATTTGTTTTATAATATACAGAATACATAATATACATGGTCGGCTAAAGACCACTTCAAATGAATACATACTCAGATAGTACATATATAAATACCTCGTATATGCGGAATCCAATACCAAGTCATGTATGTACCATAAAAAGGGGAGTTGGTAATTATTTTTTCATTACTGCTTACTTTATTAATTTAAGTTAACATTAATAATAATAATCCTATAGAAAGTAGGTTGAAACGAAATACCATTTCACAGTTTTGAAAAAATCGGTTTTTCGCGCTTTTGTAAAATTTATTTTCCATCGTATACGCGGTACTCCGTTTGGCGTATGCGAGGTACTTCGCGCTGAGCGACGATATTGTTCAATACAGTCCAATTTTTAATTGTTTAATCTTAATTATAAAATATTTACAATGTGGTTGTTCACGCTGATTAGGGATTTCATTGTTTCTTACAAAGAAGTTGGAAACTGTGTACCTATGTACTTATTTAAAAACGTCATTTAGAGTCTGGTAATGTTTACGAAGATATTAACATACATATGCACCTAATACGGGAAGCCGTATTTTCTAAAATATGTATTTATATTTATATATTTATATATGAATGTATTTCATTTATTTTCAGCCTTAAAAGGATTTACTTTTCAAAAATGCAAATAAAAAATTGATTTTCTTTGGTTTGTAAAATTTGTCTATACGTACTATATAAAAGAATTTGTGATGACCTGAGTTGTTAATCTAAGAAAAAAATTGGTTATTTTTCCTTACATTTGGTAACTTTTTCGTCAAATCTCGGTTAGAAAGTTCTTTGAGCGGCGGCAACACTGTGTCGGCGGTCATTTAGTGGCTTTGATTTGTGTGAGTGTGTGAACATCGACCCGCCTCATCTAATGGATACTGACAAAAAAAAAAAAAAACCACAATTGCATCTCTTCCGGGAAAAGTAGTTAGTTTCAATTAAAAAACAGGTCGAACGGAAATATGTCAGACAAAGCCAATCAGAAAGTATATACACTCGCCTGCACTTGAATAGTGACAATGCATTTTCGATTTTGGCTTGGTTATTTTTCTGTTATTTAATTAACATTATTTTTCAATTAAAATACAGTTTATTTTCAAATAAAAAAACTTATAAAAGAAAATTTAAAAAAAAAATCGTAAAAAAATAAAGTTTTCTCAGAATTGCATATTATGATTTTTTTGAGTATGCTAATATGTAGCATATTCCATTTTAAGAATTTTTCATATAAAACAGGGATCTAGAACAAAAGGTATGATCGCAACTAAATGTCGTTCACGTGTAGTTTTGTTCCCAAGAGGGCTTCAAAACCAAAATTTAAATGAGAACAAACCTGTCAAGAATGTTCTCAATCGGAATTATATAGGAACAAAGCCAAGTGGAACGTGCCCAAAGAGCTCTCTCTCTCGAAGAAAATTTGGGAATTAAAGCCGCAGGAACTTTCTGACAGAGAACGAAACGGGAACAAAAACATATTCTCTGAACAATTCGCGTAGAATGGAAGCGAGAAAAAATTTTTTCTCATAGCGTTCCATTAGTTTAAAATGTTTGAATTTTAAAATAATTAAAAAAATAACTAAAACATGACTATGCAAATAAAGAAAGACTTAAGACACGAACTTTTTTTGCACAGACAATTGAAAATTGTTTGATAAAGGTACAGTTCACCCTTATGATAAACGATCTGGAAATTTAAATGATCCACCTTTCGCACCGGCTTAGTATTAACACTTATGGCTCTCACTCACACGATATTTCATCCCAACACGCAGGTGCCCCCCTCACTCTTAATGTAAAGTTATCAAAACTTTTGTTCTCGTTTTGTTCTCTAGCAGAACATTCCCGGGACTTTGGTTCTTATTTGATCCTCCTTGGAAACGTTCACGATACTTTCGTCCTTATTTCGTTGTCATTATGTTCTTCTTAAGAACATTAATGAGAGATTTGTTCGCATTTTGTTCTTTTCGGCAACGTTAGAATTCACAGGGAGTCAGTCTCAAGTTACGTAGACTCCAGGGCTGTGAATGCCGTTCTGGGCACACAACCTCCTAACGTAGACGAGACGGAGCTTCGTTTGCCTCGGGAGACTCGGACCACAATATATCAACTGCGCTCTGGCTACTGCAGCAGGTTCAACTCATACCTGAGCAGATTAGATGCAGATGTGCCAAATGAGTGTCCGGCATGCGGAGAGACACCCCACGACTCGAAACATCTCTTCGCATGCCCGGAAAACCCCACACAACTAATGCCTTTGTCCCTATGGGCAGACCCTAAAGAAGCTGCACCCTTCTTGGGTCTTCCGTTAGTTGAGCTTGACGACAACGACTGAGATACTAGCCGACCTGGGCGGGGCTGTTGTAGCCGCTACAACAACAACAACAACATATGTATTACAACGCCCTAGACGGAATTCGACAAAAAGGCTGATTTTTTTTAATAAACTTCCACTTCATTGTAGGTGGAGGCAAGATGTCGTTAAAGTGCTACGTCAAGCCCTTGACCGTTGACTACATACTCACTACAAATAAGAGTAATAATTTTAAAATGAATATGTACATATGTATGTATATCATTAGGGTGGTCCAAAAACAGTAAAGTCGGAATTGTAATGCTCTCACCCCCTAGGATTTAGAGGTCGCTCAATGCGCTCAAAGTTTTCCATGCATTTTTGTATGGAAAAGAAAACAACTTTTGGTTGAAATGGTATAGAATTCTTGAAAATCAATATTTTTCGATCGGAAAACTCTGGTTCTCTTCAGGAGACTTTCAATAATATTACCTAATTATTTATTTAACCATTTTTTAATAACAACAATTTTTTATTTGTCCCCCCTTTGCATTTTGCGGGGTTTTGTGTGGGTTTTTCGCGGACCCATAAATTATAGTTGCAATGAAAAAATGGTTAAATAAACAATTGGGTATTATTACTGGGAGTCTTCTACAGATAAACAGGAAAACTTTGGGCGCTTTGAGCGACCTCTAAATATTTTTTGATATCAAACTAAAAAAAATAAAGGTATATTTTTACGGTATAGAACAATCCTAAGGGGTGAGAGCATAAAAATTCCGACTTTACTTTTTCACATGCATTTTTGGACCACCCCAGGTTCATATTTTAACATACATATGTATGTGCACAGATACCTATTTTTGTATAAGAACATGCATTTTATTTTAAATTGCAGCTTCTCAATTACCCTCATCCCGCATTATTGAAATGCTACGCCAACCAACATCAATAAATGCAGGAAGTATACGTAGGTGTCGGGAATACAAAAATACAGCGACATTTGGAGATGTGGGCGATGAAGGATACTATGAGGACGTCGCCAATTTTGACGCGCATAGTTCTGAGCTGGAAAATGCGAGAGCACAAGAGTTTTTTAACAATTCAGTATCAGCATTTCTTGCTATGCTAAGCAGCATAATTTTCTGGTGTATCTATTGGATGGCAAAGGCACTGATTGTGGTGAGTTATACATTCATACATTAAGTATACATATGTACAATTAAAGAACAAATGTATTCCTAACAACTATTTTTTTTTTTTTTTTTTTTGTCTCCAACAGGCTGCGGGTATTTTTGTTATCTTTTCTTTCATCTGTCCTCACAAGTGCATTGGACTCTTCAATTATTTGATGGACCAGCACCAAGTAGAGCAAATATTTAGAGATGAATTATAAAAGGTTAAGACGAAAGGAACTACGCTTGTGTATAAATTACATTTTGAATGTGGTTATATGGATTTTAAATTTTTAAGAAATATAGATCTAAGAAAGTAGCTATTTAAATGCTTAGTCCCTTTCAAAAAACACAAATGAGAATAAGTAATAAAAATTACCTTTTCTATGCAAAGTAGCTATCACGTTGTTGAATGTGGAAAACCGCTTATTTTTAGCGACTTCTTTACTCTCATATTTAGATACATATTTCAAAAGACCACTTTTAACCACACAATTCACAATTTGAGAGATAGTGAATGAATAATCAACTATTTTTTGTATGGATGAAAAATCACACTTCCGAAATATTTAAACCGAAAAGCGTAAGATCTGAAAATATAAAACAAAAAATGCAATGTAAGTAAAAACCATGATTAGAAAGCGGGTAAAGGTCAAAATATAACTAGTTCATAACACAGGCCTGCGAAATTTAACTTCTTCCCCCTTCCAATGATTATGTTCTTTTTTTAATTTCTAGGCAAGTCAAATTAAAATACAACCTTGTTATTTTTATAGCACATCGAGATATATTTTTATAGATGACTTTCATTTTAAATGCATGCAATTTTTCAAAAAAGCAAATAGTTTTCAATGTTTTCCTAGTTTGCCTCTCAAATAACAACCACCCATAACAAAGCTTAACATGATTTTTTCAAGAAAATTATAATAAAATATCGCTCTATTCAAGGGCTATGCGAACTCAAATATGTGTTGACACATTGATTTTTTTTTAATATTGCTTATTAAGTAAATTTTTTTTTGTTCTATAAAAATAAGGCTGATGCTCTAAATAAAAGCATATATGTAAGTCAAAGTGTTTAACTTTATGCAAGTTAAAAAAATTCAAAAAATTTAATACAAACTTTTAACTTTCTAATCTGAATCTTTACAACATGTTTGAGTTTGCAGTTTTATAGCAAATAAAATTTTAGTACTTAAGTAAAATAGCCCAGTAAAATTAGACTTTTTCTTAAAAAAAAAAAATGTAACAGCATTTTTTGATGCAGTTTACTTTTATTTGACACGTAGATCATGGATCCACAGTCTTTCCCTTTAAATTTAATTTGACAACATTCCGCCATCTTGGATTAAAGTTTTTTTTTTTGGTTTTTTGCGATATTAAAGCTTATTTTGCATTTTTCGTAAAAAATGGTTATAAACAAATATGTACAGAATTTAATTACCAACATTTGTTATATAGAACGTTCTTTTACTAATAGAATTGTTTATTGTAAAAAATTAGCAAAAACTGCGAAAAAGTTTTACCTTGTCACGGTTTTTGCCATTTTTTGACAATTTCTGCTGAAAATTCATAGCATATTGAAATTCCAAAGATGTAGAGAATTTCATTCTCCACAACTTTTGTACCTACATTTGTTTTGTACGACGCTTAAATCACGGCCGGGAAAGCGATAAACAGTGAAGACTGAAATTCTCTACATCTCTGGAATTTCAATATGCTATGTATTTTCAACAGAAATTGTCAAAAAATGGCGAAAACCGTGACAATGTAAAATTTTTGCACAGTTTTTGCCAAGTTTTTACAATAAAAAATGCTATTTTTAAAAAACCTTCTATATAACATATGTGGGAAATGAAATTATTTACATATTTGTATTACACAATTTTTTACGAAAAATGCTAAACAAGCTTGCAAAACTCAAATCGCAAAAAAACCCAAAAAACTTAAATTCAAGATGGCGGAATGTTGCCAAATGAAATTTAGGGGGAAAGACTGTGGATCCATGATCTACATACGTGTCAAATAGAAGTAAACTGCATCAAAAAATCGCTGTTACAAATTTTTTTCAAATTTCCTACCAACTTTATCTAATTTTACTGGGCTAAAAAGTTTCAAAGTTTCGATTCATATGGTTTTGGTTAAAATAAGTTAAGATAATGAAAAATATTTGTAAAACAAAATTTAAAAAAAAATTTACTTAAAAAAACATTGTAAATATTTGAAAAAATCAACATGTGAACCAGTGTACTGTACAAGCCGATTTATTTACGTTTTCAAGCTATTTGAAAAAATTACAAGCGCAAGTACGATTCACACTTGTTTCCAACAACCCAATTCAACTCATAGGTTGAACATAAATGAATACGGTAGTAGCTTGAATCGAACAAGTTTGATATATTCAAGCAGCAACACTTGTGAATACTTACAGTATTGGCCAATTTAATAGCAACCCATTTCAAAGTGATATTATTTCCTATTCATGTTTATTTATTTGTTATTAGGAATTTTCAATGAAATACAGCTCATTCTCTAACAAACCCCATATAAACCTAATTTTAAAACTTTGTAGAAAACTACAAAACAATTCAACAAATTTGTACCTAAATTTCAAACTTTTTTGCTCAGAAGTGTTAAAATTTTTTTGTGTACGCAGTTTTATAGCCCATTCAATTTTAGTCTCACAATGTGCAAGTTTCAAGTGGCTGAAAATTACCGTTGCTTTTTTAGAATTCATCGGCTTGGACCGAAACTAATATACAATTCACATCTATACATATAATAAAATTGTAACAGGCCTATGTTTGTACATTAAAGATATTAGAAAAAAAATTAATATGGGGCGTCTTTACTAGAAAAATAGAAGCCAAATCAACAATTTTTAGAATTTTTGTCTGTCTGTCTGTATGTTTGTACGCGCGTCACTCGAAAACTAATGCATGAAATTGGATGAAGTTTTCGCCGCTGTATTGCTAGAGGTCTGACTTAAAATACCGAAAGAAAAAAAAATAAGAGAATTGCCACCTGTTTGGTAAATTGATAAGATAAAGTAAATATTGCATGGCTGGCAAAAGAGAGAGGTGCCCTCTAAAACAGCCGAAAATATTTTTGTGGAGGTTGCCACATGTTTGAAAATCTTAATTTAATTGATAAGATAAATTAAATATTGCATTATGAGCACCAAACTGAAGAGGTTCAGGAAAGTTTACTTCCGCAAATATTTTTGAGGTGGGTTGCAACCTTTATTTAATTAAATTGATAAAATAAATTAAATATTACTATACGAATCAAACACAAAAATATGTACTTTCAAGGCGCAGTAAAGCACGCCGGGTATTTGCTAGTATTAAATAAAAACATTCAAAACTGCAGAACATTGTTTTACAATAATGTAATTTTATTTATTTATGAATCATAAGTTTCGTGCCCTCTCTTGCACCTCTTACGCACACTGATATTCGTTTTTTGGTTTTGTTTTTTTGAAAATCAAAAAAAAAAATAAAAAAGATTTTTGTTAGCGCTCAAATTTTTTTTTGTATTTAAGCTATTAAATTTAAAATAATTCAATGTTTTACACTACGAATTAAGTTGTAACACAATTCTTGTATTTCTTTTTATACATAATTGATGTATACCTTATATATACTAATATATGTATGTAGATGTACATATGTACATATATACTAGTTTTATATGTATGTATACATTTTTGATTTCTATATTAGTAATTGTTATGCAAAAGAAATTATGTTTTCTTTAAATATTTTTATTCCAAATTTTTTTCTTTTTTTAATTTTGATACACATATAAATGTAAATTTCAAAAACTTAGATAAGCAAATAAGAGTATGTTAGTAACATACATACATATGTACGTAACAGTCCAGAAAAAGCTTTATGCTTAAATTGTAACATGGAATCTTCTTTTTTAAACTTAAATAAAAAAAAAAAAAAAACACAGCAAATCTCATATGTATTGGCCACATTTTGCACGTACAGAAGACCAACTTTGAAAACTATAGTATTATCACTATGCATGAAAGTTTGTTAATAAAAAACTTTAGCAGCTTCACTTAAAATTCTTAACTTTTTTACATTACATTTTGTTAAAATTGCTTTGCCCACAATTGTAAGCAATTATTTTATTATTGTTATTTTTTTTTTTTTTATTGCAACATGCAACCACTCTAAGCTACGACCAATTTACTTAGTTAAATGATGTTTGATTATTTCAAATTCTTATGAGAATTTCTGCATTCGTTTTATTTTTCGTTAATGCAAATAATTATGCAGCATTTGTTGTGAATTACCTTAAAATGTATATTTGTAAAATTTTCAAATGCAACAAATTTGCTTAAATAGTAAAACAAATAAATTTCAAAAACTCCCTACACGAAATTATGCAGTGCTACTACAGTCGTTAATATTGCAGATACAATAGCTGTGTTTAAAACTACTACCCCAAAGCGCTCAAAATGCATAAGCTCCATTTTGCTATTGAAAGCTAAGTTCTTTTTCTTTTGCTGCTCTTGTTATTTTATTTGTTAACAAAATATTTGCAATGTATTCAAAAACTAGAATTGCAGTAAATTATATATTTGTTTAGCATTTTCAATTCGATTGCGCATTTTATTTTCATTTTGCAACAGAATAGCTATTTCGTTCCAATTTTAGTTTGCATTCACCTAATTTTTTATTTTCTAAATTTTAACGATATTTTGCTTCGGATATTTTCATTTACTTACTTTATATGTATGCACTTATTTTTCGTTAACATAATATGTATGCATGTAGATATATTTCTCCTATTTCGGTGCCTGCATTTGTGGCCAAACTAAACAAAAGAACTCATTCAATATTTTGTTTATCAGCTTAATAGTGTATATTTTTTGTCTATAGGTAAAAATGTAAATTGCATTAAAGTTTTAATATATATATTTTTTTTTTTTTTTATTAATTAACATTTTGCACTTCACTCGAACTAATGATCTCGAATTGATCTTTGCCAGAGATTTCCGATTCAGATTCTGATGGAGTGTGTGAGCTGTAAAGTGAAGGTAGAATATCTTTTATAATCAAATACTATCTTTTTTACGTATTTTAAAATGTATGACCACAATTATGGAGTAAATATGTATGTTGCATATTTGTATGAGCATGCGCGGTGTTAAGCGAAAAATTAGTATGCTAATGGCGCCTGAAATGCGAAAATGGACAGAGAACTCGACTAGGAACTAAAAGAAAATGGGGCACAACTAAAATTGACGCTGAGTTTCATCAATTATTTAATGTTCACTTATGCATACAGCCCGCTTCACTTGAATAGGCACACTCTTTTCCCTCAGATCTGAACTTATATCTGGATTTTTGGGCATCGGAAAATTTTCTTTTTGATTTCATATTGAAGAATGATCAATTTGAAAGAAAAGTGGAGAAAATGCCTGTATTAATAAAATAGTAGAATGGCGCTTACACATTTGTTAGTGTTTGGCCCAGCTTTTCCCCAGATTTGTGGCGTACGCCTTGATGTTGTCACACAAAGGGGAGGGACCTATATAGTTTTACAGCGACTCCAGCGAACGGCAGAAATACACTCGGAGTTTTGCCATTGTCTGCCGTTGTTAAGAAGAAACCTTTTTATCTAGATTTTTTGCGACGTTGCTTTGACCACGGCTTGGGCCCAGGCCCTGCGTAGTGGAAGCGCGCACAACTTACCACTACACTACAGCGGCCGTGAATAGGATGAACGCTGAAAAAATTACGATTTTGCTACGTTGTTCGCGATTTTTACAGCTCCTGTAGTGCGAATCGGTGCGTAATTTTGCCAGCATATTCAAGAACAAGAAGGTGTGAAAATATGCGACAAATGTTCAAAAAAAAATTCCTTAATACTTATTTTGCATGAATTATTCGTAATTTTGGAAACTTTAAATATTATTACAACTGCTCTGGACTACGAAATCGCAGTACAGACCGCCATACTCTCTTCTCGATCATGGAGGGGAAACAAACAATGCTCGTCCTTTCAAAAATCGTGACAATTATTATTAAATCCGTTGTAGCCATTAAAATTAAACTTTTCGCCGGAGAAAACCACTATTTTCTAGTTGTCATTCCAGACATGCGAGTTGCACAAAATTCCAGTTATGATTCTTAACGTCGTATTGTAAAGTTGATGACTTTTTTGACATTTTCTGAACACAAGTGCGCAGAGTAATCCGTAGTTCCCTTGTGGTGCCATCAACACCAACGGTTTTCTTTCATTTCGGTCCACTATCTCGACAATAAAATGCTGCCCCCGTAAAGGACTTTTGTTGTTTCCGTCTGGTTGTTGTGTTCTGGCTTTTTTCATGCAATGCTGTGAGCATGAAGCCCTCCATTTATGCATTTTTTATAGTTGAAAGTGCACCGGCTTAGCCCACTACTGCAGTGTTATAGGTCTAATTATTCTCTAAATTCTTAAAAAAGTTTTAAGTGTAAGTTTAATAACTTTGTTATACACATAAGGAGGCTACGCATCCTTGTACCTATTCAAGTGAATCAAAATAATAACCAAAATTTTTGTGTAGTTTGATAAAGAGTCGAATAAAATCCACAGTAATCAAGGTGTTTTCTTCATTTTCATCACTTTTCTTCGAAATTAATCATTCTTCAAAACGGGATCAAACAGAAACTTCTCTGATGCCCACAAGTCCAGATATAAGCTGGGGTCTTAAGGAAAATATGTGTACCTATTTAAGTGAAGCGGGCTGTACATATGTATGTATGTATTAACATGCACTATGGAAAAGTTTAAATACAAAGTGAATACGAAATGATACAACACAAGCACGAAAATATATTCAAATTAAAAGTAGGTAAGTGAAGTTGCGGCCACCGTGGTCGTGTGTTTAAGAGGTGCGCACTGCCGCCCGGTAGATACCAAGTTTGGTTCCTGCTCACAGCAACTTTCTAAACGTTATATTCTAACAACGGTCGCCGGAAAAATTTGGCGAATGTGCAACATTTTAATAACGTATTTTTTGCCTGTGGGCAACATCCCTAAAACATAAATTTATACTATGAACAGCAGCTATAGTTAAGTGCCATAAATTCGAAGATAACTAATAGAATTTTGAAGTACCTGCAATCAAGACTTGAGTGTAAATAAGCTGAAGAAACAGTTGAAAAAAATAAATAAATTATATCAATCAAAATATCCGCGGCAACCACAATATGTCAACTATGGCTGCCAGCTTTGAGTGGATGGATACTCCATCAACGCCACTGGTAAGTTCCGTTGCCATCCGTAAGCAACCCATTATTCTGTTTTCTGAGCAGTATTTTAAAGAAAATGTATCCTCTCGGCTATTGGCACCGATAGATGATTTCTATTCAATTAATTCGGCCGTATTTGGTGTTATGTAGCATGTCTTCCAGTGTTGCTTTTAAGCATTTCGATAATTTGTATTCTGTTTGTTCTTGTAGCGGCAACTTAGCCCTGCCTAAATAGGCTTGTCCATCAATCGTTGTCGTCAAGCTCAGCTAACGGTTCACCCAGGAAGGGTGCCACCCCAACTTGGTTGGTCCATAGAGAGAGAGAGAGGCGTTAGGTGAGTGGTGTTTAGAAGCATGCGAAGAGGGGTTGCCAGTCGTAAGATGATTATCCGCATTCCGGACACTCATTTGGCACATCTGCATTTATCCTACTCGATTGGAGTTTAGTTGTATGCTGGTGCTTATTTGTGATTTACTTGGTTTAGCATTAATCAACAATTTTATTTAGCTTGAGGCTGTTTCTAATGAAAAAGGTTGTGGAAAAACAACAATAATTAACAATGGTAGAAGTTGTAAACTGTTGTTGCTTTTTCCACATTTTCATTTGGTCAACCCAACTACAATCAAGTGCAACGATTTTGTTGCTATTTAGACTTGATCATGTGGTTGTTGTTTGTTGTTGGTTTTTGTTAATATTCTATTGTTAGAATGTTTAACTTTATGGTGTGCTCATCCTTAAATTATTTGTTATTTATGGCCTTATAACAATTCTTATATTGTGTTTCTCTTAATCAATTGACATCAAGCGTAACTATAGACAGTTTTAAACGGCAAGATCTTCTGCTAGAATAGGATGACTTTGATCAGTACTTTTGCAGTTTTAACCGACTTCACAAAAAGGAGGAGGTTATCAGTTCGTCGGAATTTTTTTTTTTTTAATGTACATACAGTGCCGAAAAAAAGTATTGGCACAGTGAATTTTTCGCAATATATGCAAAGTTTTTAATTCTAATTTATTTTCGATACTTTTTTATAAAAATATTGTTCATTCTACACCAGAAAACATAATAATAAAATCTCTAAACTTTGTGCAAAACTCAGGAAAATTCATTAAACTTTCACACTAATTTGCAACTTTTTATTCAGATTTTTTAGAAAAATACTAGGTATGCAGTTTTATAGCCCATTTTAGTATAACAAAGTGCAAGTTTGAAGTCGCTAGAAAATCGCATTGATTTTTGGTAATTTTTTTCACGCAAGTTCTCCCATACAAAGTAATTCGACAATTATTTTTTGTATGGAGAAAATGAGCAACACCTTCCACTAAAAAAATTGCCAAAACTTTTCTAAAAAATCTGAATAAAAAGTTGCAAATTAGTGGGCAAATTTAATGAATTTTCCTGAGTTTTGCACAGAGTTTAGAGACTTTGTTATTACGTTTTCTGGTGTAAAATGAACTATGTTTTTATAAAAAATTATCGAAAATAAATTAGAATAAAAAACTTTGCATATACGGCGACAAATTCATTGAGCCATTACTTTTGTTCGTCACTGTATGTTACCGCATAATTTTGGACCACGTTAACCGATTTCTATAATTCTTTTTGTAAGGGAAAGATGTTGGCTCACAGGTGGTCCCATACTAATTTGGTTTAAATCCGATGGATCATGAAAAAATTAACGATAATCTAAAATTTTTATGTGAGAATTGAAGTCTTTTTTTTTTTGCTTTAAAATTACTTGTAACATAACAAAATAAAAGGGCGCGGGTGGGTTACTTCTTTCGAAAATTTTATGGGACACATCTTATAGGAATGAGGAAAATTTCCATGATGGGCACTGGAATATTTTCAATGGTAATTGTTGAGGAAGATTGAAAAATAAATGCGCGATACATATTTTTTTTAGGTTAATAAGTAATGAATGTTTTAATGGAAATATCTAGCAATTACACTTAGGTCTTTTTTTATGCCGTACATGCGTTCCTCAGAAAGCCGCATACAAAAAATCCGCACAGCCAGGGCATTTTCGAAAACCGCATAAATTCAGATAAAGAATTCTAAAAAAAACCGCATAAAAAATCCAGTGACGCAATATTATGAAGAAAAAAACAATTTATATCTTCACTTTAACACTTATTATTCCATGTAAAACAGAACATTAATAAAAAAATAAAATTTTATCTGTATTTTAACCAAAAACCAAAAAAAAACACAGTAAATGCATGAATTATGTAAGAATACAAATACAAATTATTTATCAGAAGCACTGTCTTTCGCTTCAGCGAAAAAATTGTTTGAAAAACCGCATAAATTCAAATCGGCATAAAAATAAACCGCATTAAAATAGACCTAAGTGTACTTCGTGAAAACAAGGACTTCAGATTTTAAATCAATTTCAATATTATATACGCGTATGTAATATTAGTAAATAATGTGCGCGTTTAGTTCAGGTAGAGTTCTATAAGACCTGTACAAAAAAATTTGTTACGACTGCGAATCGTTTGAACCAATTTTTTATGGAAGCTGGCACAAAAAAAGTTTAAATAATGAAAAAAATTAGTTAAGAAGTTTGAGAGACTAAATACGAAATGATGCTGGGGAGCTCGAGCTTCAAAGAATTTTTTAAGCTCGATTTTTAAGCTTCATCCGAAAGAAGCCGATTGTGCGAGTATTTTTTTTTTTAAGAATGTGCATACTTTGTGGTAGATATACATATTACAAAATAGCCAAGAGATGGAAATGGGTCTACAACATTCGGAGAAACCGAAGCTGTTCATCTTGCACAACAGAAGGCAGAACTAAGCTGTTACATATGTTTGACTTGAAATTTGATTGAAATTAAGGGCCTACAGTTTAAAAACGCTTCCGATTAGAAGATTGGATATTATGAGAACAATTTTTATGGCAGAAGACACGTTTGCCATTGCCTGCCGGGCGTGAAAGCTGTTAGATTAACATTTTCTGCTTTTTTTCAGGAATCGAAATGAGGGTTAGTACGCAACTTAGACCACCACGTAAAACGCTTTAAACAAGTTTAGTTTTCAAAAATGATAAGCAAAAGCATTTTAGACAAAAATTAAAAATAATATATGAAGGCAAATTATTGGGGTTGTATTAGTGAGAAAATTACAAATCAATAAGGTTATTTTTCAAAACTAGGCTTACAAAGTTAATTAGCGTCAAAATAAATTCCACTTAACCAGTTCAAAATTAAGTAATCCTCCGTAACCGTTTTTCACAAGTTCATATATTTGCCATTATTTATTTATGATTAATAAATATAAATTTTATAAATAAAGTAAAATTCTAAAACGATTATAAAATTTGGTCATCAAAGAAATAAAATTAATAAAATATGCGCGTGCGCATAAATGCAAACTACAAATTAGATTCGAGCAAATTAACAGCATGCAACTAAAAAATATTTATTATTTATAATGCTATGATTATAAGAGATTGAAATGGATACTAAGATGTACTAGGAAGAGAGCATGATTCGCATAAACATATACACATAAATACATATGTATGTATGCCAAATATAAATGGCAGGCCTCAAGTAAATGCGCACACAAAAAAAATCGCACAAACTCAACGTGCCGCCAAAAAAAACTAGATCTCACCCTTTAGCGTCCGACACTGCGGCCACTTCGCTATTGTCACCGCCACTGCCGACACTGCTCTGCGACTCATTTTCAGCGGCTACTGAGTTGGCACTAGCCGCCGATTGTGCGACATTGCGACGCCGCAATTCGATCTCAGCATCGTGCTCCTTCACCTCTTCAATCTTTTCCGGTTCCAGTGGTATCGCTTCGGGGGCAGTGTCATCCTCTGCATCGCTGTCCTTGTCCTTCTTCTTAGACTTCGATTTGGAACGCTTTTCGGCGCTTTTCGATTTTTCATCTTCGGTCACATATTTAGTCTGTATTGCAAAGATTTTGTAATAAAATTTAATACGCTCAAAAACTCCTAAAAGAACTTACCTCGTAGAGTGGCCAAAATGAGGCAAAGAATCCCACATCCTCGGTCAAATTCGGCAGCAGCCAGAAATGCACTTTTCCATAAGTCAAAGCCCAAACAATTGTGAAGATGATGAGGCGTATCACCGTCAGCGCTAAAATAACTACAAGGAATCCAGCGGCCGCTACTGAAAGGTAGTAGACTCCTTTGCGCAATAGCGGTGGCCATAGCGGGAACAGGCAAATCACAATAGCGCCCAATAGCAATATCAGGCCATAGATCCAATAGTGTAATGGGATGGGGTCGAAAATCCAAACATATGCCTCAGAGCCGTCCACAAATACCTGTTCATGATGCATATCCAGCCGGATCTTACGCTTGCGTTTCTCCTTCTTCTCGCCGCCGTTGCCAGCACCGGCGCTGTTATTGCCATCACCAGCGCCATTGCCACCGCTTGCTTCACCCTCAGCTTCAGTATCTTTCTTCTCTTCCTTTTCTTTTTTACCAATGTTCTTATGCTCTTTTTCATCAGCTTTGTTTTTCGTTGTTTTGCTACCGGCAGCGCTGCCAGCACCACGCATTTCATCCAGGGAGACAGGCACTTTTTTGGCGCGATGGAAAAATTTATGCTCCAACATGGCATCCAAAAATTCAATGGCCTGTTCACGTGTGGTGAAAAGTGCATCATCGCCGGTGGCGAACTTTGACTTCATCAATGCATCAATGGCCTTATTCGAGGAGAAATACTCCACATTGTGGCTGAGAAATTTGGTTTTCTTTGTTTTTACGTTCTTTTTCATCCATTTGGCGACCTTGTATTCGTCTTTGGTCGGCTTTTCTACCTCCTGTTCGCCAGGGCCTGTGTACTCCTATGGATGGGAGGGAAAATAAGGGAATTGAATGTAGTTAGTTAATGATTAAGTGTTATAAAAATAAACCAACGCGTTTCTTAGCACAGAGTTTCAATGCTTGAGGTTATATGGATTTTAACTGTAAACATTCACTTAACACAAAAACGCAAGAATTAAGTAAATTGTAAAGAAAAAATTATATAAAATTATAAGCAATCAAAGTAAAACCGCAATGTGATGCCAAATGAAAAGTAATTCCGCATTAAGGAGGTGGGTCAGAGAGAAATAAAAATGCAATGGAATAAAATAAAATAAAATAAAATAATATAAAAAAAAATAAAACAAAATGAAATAAAATAAAATAAAATAAAATAAAAAAATAAATAAAATAAAATAAAATA